TGTGTGTGATTTTTATAGTGGAGAAGGCAAATGCAAAAGCCCTTCCAGATGACCGAAACAGTGGGGTCCTCTGCAGCTACAGGGGATTCTAGACATTAACTAAAGGCCAGCAAGCATTCAAGTCCCCAAGTGTTTTCCCGGTGTAAATCACTCACTTGTTAACAACATTTTTCTCTCTCTTCTTTTTCTTACATTTTTAGGGTGTTACAGTAATTTGAAAAACAATGAGCAGGTTGGAACTATAACTAAAACTCTTGTCAAGAAGACTGCTCTTCTAATGAGTTCTTTGAACCTCAATAGTTTTCACCACAACTCTTTCAAAGGCACTATTAACTCCTTTCACAAGTAAAATAATAAATATGCTTCCTACTTGCTAATATCATTGTTGGATAAGTCTAGCCGTTCTAATCCCTGTAACAGAGTGATTTCATCAGCCAATGATTTCAACTTATTATGTCTTAGTTCCAACACACACAAGGAATTCAGATACTTCAATTGTTCAGCTCTTAATACTTCAATCTGATTTTCACCAACATGCAATTCCTAGGGAAAAAAAATAATATTGTTCTCACATCTATTAAAATAAAGTTGTCTAAAAAGGAGAATATGTCAATACATTTTTTGTAATTGTATATGTTTAAAAGCAATAATAAACAATATTTTAATCCAGAGTTCCTTAAATGTGATATAGGATTGTAATATTACAAGCATTAAAGACATATAGATTATTGTGAACTAAATCACACCTGTTCTTCCACAAATACTGGTATAATTACAATCTCATAATCTTATTTTTTTAAAAAATCTACCCATATTCTGAAAGTAGGTTGCAGTTATAACTTGTAAATGTGATCAATTAATTATAAGCACCATTGCAATCGGACCAGCCATGTATTCATACATTATACAATATAAATGCATTCCTCATTTCTTTAAAATACGGTATCTGAAAACATATGCATTATATATAGACAGTTTCTAATTAATATTGTTCATTGTTATTAAAGAAAAATTTAATTAAAATGCCACTTCAATAGATAGCTATATTAACAATTAAGCTTAGCTCCATTTTACCATTATATATAACTATTGTTTGCTATGGATTGTTTGCTATGTGAAGAAGGCAAATGACAAAATGCTTATCTCAATAGTGCATGTAGCTATATAAAAGTTGGAACTGCTGCAGTGACATTATGACACAGATATTTTCATTTTGATAAAAACTGCTGGATTCAATTCAAATCTCCGCTTTGTGTTAATAGGCCAAAACTCTGAAAGAAAACAAATCCTACCTTTAAATATGTACATGAATGAAAATCTGGCAAGGAGCACAACTTATTTCTCCTGAGATAGAGTTGTTCTAATGAAACCATACTGCCCAGTTCAGGAGGTATATTTTCCAGGAAATTCTTAGTGCAATCCAGTTTTCTTAAATCTAGACGAAGAGAGCAGATAGAGAAAGAACTTGCATCATCTGTACCAAAATAATCATTATGGTTTATTAAAGAGCATAACCATACAGGTTTTCAATATGCTACCTCCAGAAACCAAATAAATGTTTAATTTAAGAAAGATCAATAAGAAGAAAGTCTCAAATGTATGTATGGCATGTTACCAATATGGCTTCTTCAGTAACAGTGCTAAATGCAAGGTTATAGAAATACTGTTGGGATTCAGCATGCTCTCTTTTCATTTACATTAAAACCAAATTCTTTAAAAGGAAAAGAAAAGCTGCTGACAATATTTTAGAAAACCTCTTTTAGAAACTGGAAAATTAGATAATAAAAATAAAGCAATAATTAAATATAACTCAATAGGCCCTTTCTTTTCATTGCACTGATTTCTGTTGGAAGATTCATTAATTGATTAGAACCTAAATTGAGACGCACCAAGTTTATAAGGAAAGCAAAACTTGTAGGGATACCAGAGATATGATTATTAGAGATATCCTAAAGAAAGAAAGGAAAGAAAACCATATTTTACTTATTCTGAATCTTAGCTATGTGAGAAAACATAAGTTGTAATTTACAACCTGTTTAAGAAATGTAGATCTGGGTTAGCTGAAAACAAATTGGTTAGCACAATTCTACCTTCCATTTTGAGTTCTGACATCAAAACTTTGGCCTATCCTACCTATTAGATTCATGAGCCACACAGAAGCAAATCGATTCCTTTCATTTCATTTCCAGCTTGAGAGATCATTTTTACCGTTTCTATGTTTAGAGAGCATGACTGGAGAATATGTATGCAAACCTTCTCCGAGCTACTAGATATTGTATCTGTCTGAAACTCAACGCTAGAGAGGTACATCACTTGAATATCATCACTGAAGAGAGATTTGACGTTGAACCTCTTCCACTAACGTCAGATTCCTTCTCTGTTCTCAAGACAAAGACGGAAATTTGATGTATCCTGTATGCATTCTATGTCACCCAAATCCTCCAATAACGTTATATAGCTAATTCTTCCATTTATAAGGACCGAGAGCCAATGGATCATAATAAGTTTACATTCTATAACAATATCCTTAATGCCATCAAACAAGAACATCTGCTATCCCAGGTCCTTGGAGAAGTGAATAAAAATGCTAATCCAGTCTAAACATCTGGCTGATTGTGTGACAAACCATATTAATAATAATTGACAAACCACCACCAGTCAATTACAAAAGGCAGCCTTACTTGGAAGAGCTTACATTTATTACAATATCGTGAACATGATGCAACAATATATGCCTATGCCAGATCTTTGGGAAGATTGATAAAAATGCCAAGGGCCAAATCCAGCCTAAACATCTGGCTGACTGTGCAACCAATAACAATAATATAAACTTGTGTGGAGCCTGAGAGAAACAGGATGGGGATTTTTGACTCCTCTTTTTAAAACTTCCACTGCTTTTTCTTGCACAGATGCTCTCCTGCAGGGTCTCATTCTTAGGGAAATTGTCGGAATTGACTGCTTTTTTCCCCTCCCCTTTACAGGTAGTCCTCAATTTACAATCACAATTTGTGTTGCTAAGTGAGTTGTTAAGTGAATTTTGCCCAATGTTACGACTTTGCTTGCCAGAGTTGTTAAATGAATCACTGCAGTTGTTAAGTTAGTAACATGGTTGTTAAATGAATCTGGCTTCCCCAGTGACTTTGCTTGTCAGAAGGTTGCAAAAGGTGACTCCGCAACACTGCAACCGTCATAAATATGAGTCGGTTGCCAAGCATCTAAATTGATCATGTGATGCTGCAATGGTCATTAGTGTGAAAAGTGGTCATAAGGCACTTTTTTCAGTGCCAGTGTAATTTTGAACAGTTATTAAATGAACTGTCAGTTGAGGACTACCCGTACTTGGGGGTCACCTACTTCAAGTCATAGAAATGTACTGTACTTAGTCTATGAGTAACAAATAAATTAAAACGGTATCAACTACAACCAAAAGAGAAAGTCAGAAACCATCAGCTTCTGCTTACCAACTCTTCCAAACTGACAAGTTGTCCGAATTCATTAGGCAGGTGATACAATTCGTTGTGCTGCAGAAGCAGGCTCCTCAAGTGTTTTAGCTGAGTAAGCTCTTCTGGTATCTCTTGCAGTTTATTATGACTATTGATAAAACGGGAATTGTGAAGGGCTGCATTACTATACAATTGGTCTGCTATTCAGTTTAATAACTACAATATGAATTACCTTTGCTTGTTTGAACTACTGTTGCCTTAACTAATCTTCCCATTGTGTAATTATTTTTTTCTAGTAGGATAAGAAGTAAAAATCATGCAATCCTAGAACTAGTCGGTGGCTTACAATTCAGGAATTATATAACAGAAGTAATAATATTCTTTACATCCAGGATTTATTATTTTTTCAAATCAAATTCTCAATTAAAGCAAAATGTCAAAGCCTGCAAGTACTTATATAATAATTTCTTAACAATGAAAAATATTCAAGATTTCAAAAACTGAGCAATTTAAGAGCAGCTATACTGCTGTTATTACACACTTCATTTCTTAAGTAAAGGGTGTACTTTGATTTTTTTCCCCTCTAATCTAATTTCTACCAGCTGCCAAAGGCCTGTTTTAGCTTCCAGGTGAAAACTAGGCTACTTTCTTATTGGATTTATATAGTTGCCAATCTTACACAATACTCTGGGTGGCTTACAATATTAAAATAATAATACATATAAATATAAAAAAATAGCAGCCAAAAAAAGCCACACCATCACTCAACGCAGCCAAGTGATAGCCTCTATCCCACACTTCAAGTTCTAAGCTTAGAGATATTTTTACCTCAAATTAAGTTTCTGAAGATTTTCTAGTGATCCTATAGCAGAAGGGAGAGACGTGAGTTGATTATCATGCACCTAAAAGTAATACGAAATTGTTAGAACTTCTTTTTTGCTAAAATATGATATATTAAATGCTCAAATGTGCAAAAAAGTGGACTTTGAAAATTAAAATTATTATATCCATTGCAAACTGCACTAAATTAAACAGTTTGTGCTTCTTATTTTTGTCATTTCATCAAATGATGAAAATGATGACAAATTATGGGAAGGAGGAAGAAGAGTAAAAGACAAGGAAGAAAAGCCATCTTTACACTGAGGAGGGTTTTCATATGGATGGTTTGTATGTTTTGGCTTAAGGTTATTACAATAAAGTTCTTGCTAAATTGTTTGGTATATATATTCAGATTTCTAAAGAACCAGCAATGGAAATATGAGGCAAAGCCTTTTCCAAGACTTCCGCACCTTGTATTTAATAGTTTTAAAATACAGGAACATTTTTATTTCAGATATCAAAGGTTCCTCAATGTTCAGAATTATGAGAAAAAAAGACAACTGTATTACACAAGGACGACAGGCTAAGGATTTTTCAGTCAGAAGGCCATCATTCTAACTTCACAACATTATGTGAATGAAATCAGTGATTTAAGATCAAGTAACAAATTGGACAAGAGTTTGAACTAGGGTTACTCTGTTCAAGAGAAGCTCTCAACTCTTCATTCTACAGGAGTGTGTGTATATATCCAAGAGACAGAGAAAGAGGAAAAAGAATCGACAGAGAGATCTTTATACGTTCCTCAAAAATACATCATTCAACAAAACTAGGTTTGCAGACCAGAAGATCTTTTCCCCCAATAGTGATCAATGCACAATTAGTAACATAAAAGTAACCGTCATTCATCATTTATTTTACTCACATCAAGCACAGTGAGGGCAGGTAAAAGTTTGATATCATCAGAAAGACACTGCAGTTTGTTAGAAGATAAAATCAGTTTGTTGAGGTCAGTTTGCTCCCACCAGCGATCAGCACCAGTAAAAGAGAGGTTTTGGTGGGCCTCTTCTGGAGTATCCAAATTTATTCGCCATATATGTAGAGGTACTGCATACAAAAACAGAGTATGTCCATATGAAAAAATCATTTTAAAAAATCGTTCATCTTCTATTATGGTTATTCTTCTAAAGCAGAGGTGTCAAAATTGATTTCATTGAGGACCGCATCAGAGAGGCGGGGGTGGTGCGTGGCCAAGTGAGCATGACCAGCTTGATGTCACATGTATCAGGGGTGCCTGTGGTGGTCTAAGCGCTCTGCAGTGAACAGGCTTCCGAGCTCCATTTTCGGATGCAATGGCCTCCTACAACCCTCTGCCAGTGAAAAAGGAGCTCGGGAGAGCCTCCATTTTTGCTGGCAGAGGCACCGTGGGCCAATCCTTTATTATTTCCAGGGCAGCCTCATGCGCCAGATCTAAGCACCCCACAGACCAGATTTGGCCCCTGGGCCTTGAGTTTGACATTCGTTGTAAAGCAAAGGTGGGGGAACCACGGCCCTTTTATGATTTGTGGCCTTCAACTCCCAGAATTCTGGCTGACTCAGGAATTCTGAGAGTTGAAGTCCACAAGTCACAAAAGAGTTATGGTTCCCCACCCCTGTTCTAAAACTGATTTTGGAATAAATTGGTGGATTTTGAATAGAGATGTTATTTTTGAGAAGAATTACACATTTTCTAAAATTTTAAAAGATGTAGTGTCTCATTTTATTCAGAAGTCCACAAATTACAAAATAATTAAGTTTTTGCAGTTTGCAAACAGTATGCTAGTCTATTTTACACCCTCCAACAGTTAAGGTCAAGTTTGCCTCACTAACAAAGGTAATGAGTGGTCCTGTCCTTTACAGCTTTGCCATAGCATGGTTGAAAGGCAAGCAATCTGTGATTCCACTGACTATTTTTCTCTCCCACTTAGTCTCATATTCAGCAGGAAAATCAAACACGAATTGTTTTGTGTCCAGTTTACAATGAGGTTGGGTGCCTGGATTGCAGGCTTTAGCCATTTTTCAACTTGTCTAAGTGACGGTTTACTCTTCAGTGACAACTTTCCACTTAGGCTATTTCTAAACATGGGTCCACAAGTCTTCCAGAAGAACTGAAACAAGGCAAAATACAGTCCGGTTCACAAAATCAATGGGGCAGAGGAAATGTACACTCATATGGCACATCTAAAGAGTCCCTCCCACCTCCAACATACACTGTCTTTCAACAACTTACCAGGTCACCTTTTTTTGCACACAGATTAAGTAATCAAATTATCATTTATTGGTCATGCTTATTAAAATAAGAACTGTCACTACTCTTGTGAATGTCATCCCAGTTCCCAAATATCCCGATCAATGTAATGAGAATCAATGTAAGAGAAAGGCAGTGCCAGCAACAAGAGACTGTGGCTTGCAATATCTGGAAGTATCCCATGGAGTGTGCAAAATGACATTTGAGTAGGTGAAATGGTGCCACTACTGTCAATGTAATAGTGTCAGCATGAAAACCTCGGCTGCAGAAAAATGGTACCTTTTCTCATTTAAATTGATCTTCCACATAGACAATGATAGTCTACCACCCTTTCCAAAGGTCACTGAATATACATTAAAAATAGTTTCAAGGGGAAAATATTAGATACGTATCTGCAGAATATCTGATTAGTGCTATGCAAAACACCAACAGGTTAGGCATAATGCAGGCTGTAGAATCTAAGTTTCCACACAGGTAATCCTCAACATACAATCATTTGTTTAATGACCATTCGAAATTATAGTGGCAAGTGAAAAAAGTGACTTGTGATCGTTTTTCACACTTATGACCTTTGCAGCATCCCCATGGTCACATCATCAAAATTCAGAAGCTTGGCAACTGGCATGTATTTATGGCAACAGCAGTGTCTTGGGATCAACGTGATCACTTTTTGCAACCTTTTGAAGCAAAGTCAATGGGGAAGCCAGATTGACTTAACAACCGTGTTACTAAATTAGGAATTGCAGTGATTCATGTCATAACTGTGGCAAGAAAGGTTGTAAAATGGCACAAAACTCACGTAATAATTATCTTACTTAGCAATGGAAATTTTGGGGTGCAAAATTGTGGTTAAGTCAAGGACTACCTATATTCATTCTCCTACAGCCCAGACTACAGAGGACGGTACCCTTTGGCTAAGGGGGATGCTGACTGCAACCAAAATTGAACCACTGAGTCTGCATGGGTATAAACGAGGCATAGGACAGCAGCGTCTCTTATGGCACAACTTATTTTCCTCTTATGGAGAAGAGGAAAAACTGGAGTCTGGGAATGAGATGCTGAACCATGCTCTCTAAAACTGGTTTGTAAGGCCAGGAAGATAAACCCAAGAAATCACTAACGCAGTAAGTTTCCAAAACTGGCCTTTTTTAAGAGGCAACTGGACTTCCTGGTTTTTCTTTGGAGACCTTTCGCTTCTCATCCAAGAAGCTTCTTCAGCTGTGATGCAATATAAATGCTGCTGGGGCGATATAAAGCTGACTAATGCAGTCAGGCTTTATATATTGCCCCAGCAGGGTGGCTCAAGAATTGCAGGAGGAGTTTTTAATTCGTCTTGTTTTTGTTTTTAATCTGTTTTGTTTTTGTTCCCGGAACAACTAGAAATGCACAAAACCCATAGGACATAGCAAGTCAAGAAAACAAAATAAAGGCAATACAGGCAAACGGTTTTCTTCTGCGGCTGGAAAAATCCCGGTGGCACAAATGAGACCGTGAATGATGCATAATATACCAACTCTTGGTCATTTTGTTTCTGTTTAGATATAGAAGTATCTCTGAAACAGTGACCCAAAAAGATACAAGTTCTCTAGTATTCACCAAACCTCAAGCTCATTTCAAGGATATCCTTACTGTATTAATGGGTTGAGCAAGCCTAGCCAATCTACCATATCTAATTACAGTTTTATTGTCATTAACGCTGGTGCATCATTTTACTATTTCATAATTTCTTTTTTCTGTTCATCTACACATACACAAACACACCATAAAAAATATCTTTCCTTTGGTCTAAACTTATAATGAAAGGACCATAATTTACAAAATTAAGACATAAGTGTGCTACTCTTAAGGTATTGCAAGTCTTTTTGCTTTTACAGCAACATATAAGCATCATTTCTCTGGAAATCAGGAAAGTATTTCTGGTGAATAAAATATTTAATATTTTAATGCTTTTAATGTGCAATTTTATACAAATCTAGCTAATTATCAGCAGTTTTATTGCTCAGTTGCAAAGTTGTCTCTGACTCTTTCCAACCTCATGGACCATAGCACACCACACCAGGGTCCTGTCTTCTACTATCAATCCATTTACAAAATGTCAGGGTTTGTTTTTTTCTAAATTCGGGGGGGGGGGGGGGGAATCAGTCACTTTCGGGTAGATCGGGTAGAAAAAGACCCCTTTGTTTCCCCCCCACCCTGGCTGGGGTTCTGAATCCCCGCCCTTCCGGCTTGGGAACAAAGGGCAGGCCGGCCTTCTTTAAGGAGGCGTAAACTAAATCTACCTTCGCTCTTTTGGGTGGGGTACCTAGGCTCCGGCCCTCCTCATCTTCGGTCAACTCCCGGCCGGACAGATTTAACTGGCCGCTCTTTCTAGCCGCCCGAAGCAAGCCCTGGGGAATAGCGGCCGCGTTGGCTTCATCCTGCCCTGCTCCCCGCCTGAAGCCCGCCAGGGAGTGCCCCGCGCCCCGTCTCCGCGCTCCAGACATCGCGGGCGCCTCGACTCTTCTCCCGCCTGAATTCCAGCGAGGCGGCGGGAAACGCGGCTGGTCGGCCTTTCCGCGCAAAGAAGGCGGACCAGGCTGCTCTCACTGTCGCCGCGTTTGGGAGGCGCAAGAAGAGCAGAGAGACGGTCTTGTGAAGTAAAACTCTCAGCGACCGGTGACTTTTGCTGTAAACGTTGGAAAACGCAAGGGGAAGGTTCCCAGTTAGAGTGACTGTTAAGGAAACGTGGACTCTTTCTAATCTGAGAGATAAAGCTAGGCATCCTCTTTTCCAAATGGGCGTCTCCTTGAGATTGACAACATTTTCCAAAGCACTTGAAGGCCAGACAAGGAATAATGATGGAAACTGAGCAAGGAGACATTTTCTGACAGAACAAATCAACCAGTGGAAGTTGTGGGAGCTTCATCACTGGAAGCTTTCAAGAAGAGACTGGACTGCCATCTGTCAGTAATGGTATAAGTAGGGTCTCCTGCTTGGGCAGGAGGTTGGACTAGATGACCTACAAGGTTCCTTCCAACTCTGTTATTCTGTTCTATTCTGATTGTGCTTTTGGTTATGAGGTAGGGCTAAGGTTGAACGTGAACCAAGGACCTGGTTCCAGTTCTGTCCAAACCGTTATGATTAAGAGTTCTTTCCACACCATGTATGTTAACCAGCTCATCATTGCAAGAATGTGGTTGGACTCACACAATTACTAAAGCATAACCCCAGATTAATGTTACACAGCGTGCTGCATTCAAATAAACACTTCATATTTTGTCTGCAAACAAGATGACTGGGTTCCAACAATAAACCAAACTACAAATTGCTCAGTTGTATGTTACACTTTAGCTAAATGACAGCACTTAACTGACAGTGTAATTGATGTGGGGAGAAGCTAAGCAGGATCGGACCATGTTGTACATTGATGGAAAAATAGTATTACTTGTCAGGACTACAGTAGATTGGGAAGTTTGTTTTAAAGCCAATCTAGGAGGTAGTGGCAAACCACAATATTGTTGTCAAAAAATCTTTGTGGACATCTCCAAATCTATATACTACTAAAATTCTGATTGTCATGACCCATTATTGGGTGAAATGGTACATCAGAAGAGCAATGATTTTTGAAGCAAAGTACCTTCAAATGGGCTAAATTACAGAATGTGTCCATAATCCGAGACCCATGACTTCTGAGAGAATGACATTTGGAGTTGTGGCTGCTTCAGTGCTGCTGCCTTCTTGAATTTCTGCCATTGCTTCAGTTCCATGATAGTTACCCAGACAGTCTTGCAATTCCTCACTCCCATCTACCCTCAAAAGTAAACACCAGAACTTGCTGAAATGGGGAGATATCCAATGCTGCCTGCCAGATTCTCCTAAGAAAATTCAGTGGGGAAGCCTGAAGGAAGTTGGAAGTCACTGCTATTCCCACTGCTTTATTACCCACTCTTGGTCATTTTGTTTCTGTTTGAAACAGTGACCCAAAAAGATACAAGTTCTCTAGTATTCACCAACCTCAAGCTCATTTCAAGGATATCCTTACTGTATTAATGGGTTGAGCAAGCCTAGCCAATGTACCATATCTAATTACAGTTTTATTGTCATTAATGCTGGTGCATCATTTTACTATTTCATAATTTCTTTTTTCTGTTCATCTACACATACACAAACACCCCATAAAAATATCTTTCCTTTGGTCTAAACTTATAATGAAAGGATCATAATTTACAAAATTAAGACATAAGTGTGCTACTCTTAAGGTATTGCAAGCCTTTTTGCTTTTACAGCAACATATAAGCATCATTCCTCTAGAAATCAGGAAAGCATTTCTAGTGAATAAAATATTTAATATTGAAATGCTTTTAATGTGCAATTTTATACAAATCTAGCTAATTATCAGCATTTTTATTGCTCAGTTGCAAAGTTGTCTCTGACTCTTTGCAGCCTCATGGACCATAGCACACCACACCAGGGTCCTGTCTTCTACTATCAATCCATTTGCAAAATGTCAGGGTTTTTTCTAAATTCAGGGGGAAAAAATCAGAATTCATGTCACTTTCGCCAGCTGAACCCGTGGAACATATCAGCTTTCTGCAATCTAGTGACTTCCAGAACAAACATACATGGCATATTCAATTCTACTTTAAAGCTAGGATGTAGTGCTTAAACAATGTGCTCTTAAAGAATGCTTTGTTAAGTTCTGCAAAATATAAATTGTCTTTAAAATTTACTTGTCAAATTTTACAATGGAACATGTGAAAATTTCATAATAGAAAATTAATAGAAAAACTTTGCCAATATTTTACATAAAATTACAAAAGAAACAGCATTTTTAAGTTACGTAATAAATAAATCATACCGCAGCCCCTCTTTAAAAGATGGGTTGTTTAGAAATAATAATTTCTGCAGTCTTAGAAACTGCACATTTAATTAGGTTAATGGCCGAAAGACTCCTTTCTGCTTGAAAAGGGGAACTAAGTTCCACTCTTTGAGCTTTGGCCTTCTCCTGGGGTGGAGATTCAACATGCTATATACATCAAGGATCTTCAAGCTTGGCAAGTTTTAAGACTTGTGGACTTCAACTGCCATAATTCCTGAGCTTCTTGGAGGAGGAATTATGGGAGTTGAAGTCCACAAGTCTTAAAGCTCAGGGTTGAAATGAGGGATCCTTGGTGCTCTGAGCTTGGTTTTCTCACAGACATTTCCTTACCCAAATTAGGCAACACCATCAGTACTAGTGATGCACTAGCATCAAGGACCCCTCATGTATATGCATCAGCTAAATCACTCAAGAAGTAGAGCCCCTGTCAGCACTGTTTCATTACAATGTGAAGAGGTTAATAAGATAGATTTATGCATGCAATTTATCAATCGCTTTGATTCAAATGGAAAGCTGATACGCTCGTATCGCTCAGAATTAAAAATAGAGATTCTATTTATCCAGGTCATGGTAGTCCTGAAAGTGCTTTCCCCCCCCCCCCAACAAACAACTGGATTTTCTGATTTTTTTCTTTGAAGACGTTTCACTTCTCATCCAAGAAGCATCTTCAGCTCTGATCGAAATTCCCCATCATCCAGTCAGAATTGAAAAAGCTTCTTGGATGAGAAGCAAAACGTCTTCAAAGAAAAACCAGAAAGTCCAGTTATTCCTTGACAAAAAAAAAAACCATCTCCGGGACTTAAGCATCAATCCCAACCACGAACAGCTACGGAAATAGGAAAAGGCCTTTAGCGCCGCCTGCACATGCGCGCAAGGCATCTCAAGTGAGCATGCGCACACGCAAGTTATGCGTGTCCCGTTTCACCCGGAGGTTGTGAGCAGGCGCAGACCGAGAGGTTCTTGCGTCGTTCGGAGAGAGGCGCTGAGGAGCTTGGGATATTGCGGCCCAGGGAGTCTGGCAGCGAAACGATCGTTTGGTGGCCGTTACTCCGCGCGTGAGGGCCTTTTTTTTTTCCCCTTCCCTTGCGATTAAAGCGACGGGAAGCGCCGAGGGACATACGACGGAGGCGTCTCCCGATTCCCCAGGGCCCTTAACTCGTCGCCCCTCGATGCGTTTGTAAGTGCCGGAGCAGGAGGCAGCGCGATGGCTTCAAGCAGCGGCACCGATGTGATTCAGGTCACCAACGTCTCCCCGAGTGCTAGCTCGGAACAGATGCGGACTCTCTTCGGCTTCCTGGGCAAGATCGAAGAATTGCGCCTCTTCCCTCCCGAGTAAGTTCCGTTTCGAGAGAGAGAGAGAGAGAGAGAGAGAGAGAGACGGATGGTCGAGTTTTTAAAGGCCGCGGCCTCCGCGAAACCATCGCTCGAGTATTATTATTAGGCCCTTGATCGGCCGGGGTGGGACCGGGCGAGGATGAGGGCCGCAGGACAGGGCGGAAATCGCCGAGCTTGGCTGCTTGAGGCGGTGGTTGCCGCTTCCGAAAGCTAAAAGCGGATCACGCGGTCGCTTCCTCGCTTGCCATCCGCTCCATCTTGGAGCTTCCGGCGCTGGGGCGGCCTTTCTTTGGCTCGCCGCCCTCGTCTGCTTTCGCAACCTGGGAAGGGAGGAAAGGCGGGAGGCGGAAAAGGGATCTGCCAGGGACGGCCGGGCGGAGGGGGCGCACCGCCTTTATTTGTGGATTGGGGGTGGAGAGTGGGGGGGTGTAGGCGATTTTCAACTGCCAGCTTCCGTGGGAGAGCCACGTTGTGAGGCGGATCGGTTTTAGGAAAAGGGTTGTATTGCGTGAAACAAACGAATTCCTCCTTGTAAGAGGACGAAGAGCTAAGATGTGTGGTCTAATCCTGGTCGTTGTTTCCTGTGGCTGGTTAAATATAACACAAAGTTGATATTATTTTATATATATATATAAAATATTTTATATATATATTGCCGCCATAATAGCACTTGTAGGGTTGGGTTTGGGGTTTGTTTTTTTTTGTAATTTTCAGGTTAAATGTATTAAGTGTCTATGTTATATTTCGAGGAGTGTTTGGGGCTTAAGAATAAGCCAGTATTGTTGATTTCAAACTAGACAGAATGATAACCCATGATTTGAATTTTGAACTGATAACAACAAAAGTAACCCAAAAGTAATCCCAACAAAAGTAACCAAAGTGGAGAAAAATGCTCCTGGTCATATATCCCTCTTTGTTGGGTGGATGTTGGGGAATTTGTGGTTGTGGTGCCTGAAAGAGAGCTTTTTTGGGGGGAAAGGGGGGGGGAACAGGAACATAGATTTATGATGAATCCAGAACAGATTACTATATAGACAGTCCTCAACTTACAACAGTTTATTTAGTGACCATTCCAAGTTGCAACCACGCTGAAGAAAGTGACATGATTGCTTTTCAGAGTGTAGCATTCCCCATGATCATGTGATCAAAATTCAGATGCTTGGCAACTGGTTCATATTTAGGACCATTGCAGTGTCCCAGGGTCATGTGATCATTTTTTGAGACATTCTGAGAAGCGAGGTCAATGGGGTAACCAGATTCACTTAACCAGGTTATTAACTTATATTAATTTATCAACTGCAGGGATTGACTTAACTGTGGCAAGAAAGGTGGTAAAATGGGACGAAAGTCACTTAACAAAGGTCTCCCTTAACAACAGAAATTTTGGGCTCAGTTGTGGTCGAGGACTATCTGTAGTGACAATAAAAGAGAATATTTCTAGTTCAGGGTTGAAAGCTTAGCACTGATGGTGTTAACCTATTTGGGTAAATAAAACATCTGCAAGAAAACAGCCAAGCTCATCAGAGGGCACCATTGTAGTAGGTTACTATAGTACAGGGGTCAGGGAACTTTTTTACCTCTTACCCCCCCAAAAATTTATAAACGCAGACGTTACCCCCTTGATTTGAAAGTAAGGAAATCATA